TAGAATTCATTATTTCCACGCAAACGATGACTCCTGTGGAATTCAGCGACGAAGAAATGACGACATTTCGCAAAAAACACGCCTTCGAAACAGCGTGTTTTTAAATAAATAATTGTCCAGTTCTTCAAACAAACTGATATGACGAGAAAGACGACAAAATTTTGTTCATCGTGGCCAAATAAAACGTTAAAAACATCCGGCCGATTGCAAAATATTGCCATTTTACTTACTGAGAGAACGATTATGCCAAATTCAAATTTGATTTTGCCGCTCATCTCGCTTTTTTACCGGATGTGACGTCATTTTGTGTTGAATGATTCAGATACACCGTACATAAAAAGTGCCAGGCGTCGCAGAGTGTTCTCCCCCGCCCCTGTCCTACATAAATGAAGATAAGAAAGGGAACAAACCGGTTTGTCAAACTGAGAACGACAAACTTCGGCCAGGGGGGACAGGACGGGGGTGCTCGTGGTACCTTATGCATTGGAGGTTAAAAACGCGATTTTGGGAAATCGTGTGTTGTTTTAGAATTGGTATCTCTTACGGTGGACCGACCACCTAAAGAGATGGTACGTCCCGAATATTGCGGTCGGAAGGAATCGAAACGCTAATTCCACGATGACTATAGACTGGGAGCTGGGGAATTGAAATCAGTCATTTTCGATCGGAGAAGATATTAAATTCCAACAGAACTGAATACATGGCCGCAGCTGCACGTGGAGTTGGCGAGACAAGTGGCGCTGCCAGTTAAAATGGCTTTTTTGGGAAAATATTTTATTGTTAGAATTTGTTTTCTCAAAATGCAGCTTTACCTGTGTATTTATTTGTTTCTTTATTTCTCAATCCACATTTTTTTTTTTTATCTTACTATTTTTCAGTGCTAAAAAAACTTTCAAGGTTTTAGTTTGAATTTCATCAATCAAATTGCGAGAACTTTTGGACGCGCAGTTGACAAGTTGTTGAATGGTTGAAGGGTTAATTCACACGGGCAGTTTTGGAAAG